ACAATAGCAGATAATACGATATATTATTAACTTCCCGTAGGGTAAGTTATAGTAAACGCAAAAAAATTGAAAATGAAATTTTTTATGTATCTTTACGTTTTAAAGGTTTCTGAATATTTTGGCACACCTTAGAAAAAATGAATGCATATGGGTGTCTGTGTCGTCGACGATTTGGAGAACACGGATCAACCAATTTGAATGATTCAAAAAACATTATATTCCTATTATTAAGGAGAATTTTGGCAAAGGCAGGTTCAGCCGTTTTGAAAGTACGGGTCAATTAGTGCCAAAAATAGTAATTCAATTCTTGAGAGAACCGAGCGTCCGATTTGAATGATTCAAAAAACATTTTAATGGTTTTGACGAAATGGAGAACTGATGAATTTTTGAAAAGGTTTAGAGGTTTCGGTGATCCAATAAACGAAGTAAAAAAAATGCCATTTGGCAGTCAAAATTGATCATTTGACATATGCACATCAAATTATCACATAATTTTCAAATATTTTACTTTTATTTTTCTATGGGTTTCGTACCAATGTTTATCCGTTATACTACTGCGACGCGGCGCTCGCGCGCTTCTATTTTTCGTTTCTATGCAGGTAACGTATCGCGATTGATTTAAAAAAAAAAACAAAATTTTCAAAATATTTCAAAGTGTAAAAAAAATAAAATCTTTCAAAAAGGTAATTTTTTTTTTAAAATTTAAAATTCTCAAAAATTGATTTTTTTTATAGTTCTAAAAGAAAATTGAATCCTTTTCACGCCGACTAAAACCTCTGCTTTTCTCTTGCTTCTGGTCCCCACGGAAACCGCTGTTAGGCATTACTTCGTGGGAGATGATCTAGAATACTATAATTCTCGCTCTGATATTTATATACTGATTGTTTCCATTCGCTCGTCCTTTTTCCAAAGATCATAGGTCTATTAGCACTTCGGTAGCAAATGTCGATGGCGTTCCACGCAGCCTCAATTGTCAGCATCATTTTTACAGCTGTATATGTGCATATGTAGACTGCATATGTGAGTGTAGTATACTGGTGATCATTTTATATGTATATACGTATTATATTTTTTTTATTTTTTGTAAAATAAGCTAAAAAATAGATTAGAATGTAGTTCAAATAGTAACCATTGGGTTTCTTTTCTAAAAAGCTACTGTTAATTTTCAAACCAGTTACTCAATGTCTATGTATAGACGGGCTGTAATTTATATATATATATATATATATATATATGTATATATATATATATATATATATATATTTACTCTTTATATATATCTTTAAAATATATATAATTGTTACTAATTATGCTACGAAAAGATTAAATTAAATAAGTGTCATTGTTTGTGCCTATTGCATAATTTCACACCTGTTTATCACTCCTTAAGAATAAATTACTATTGATTAGAATTAATATTTATATGCTAAATTTTTATTATTCCTAAGGTGTGTGTATCAACACTTTCTGATGTACGATTGCCAATATTTGTTGCTCGAAAACCTAGTATTTGCTTATCAAACACGAGTTAGTGAAATCTTTTGTGAATACGATGTCCATATCGATTTTAATTTACATTTTCCACCCCTATTGTCGACCATGTCAGGTGGTTATTATGCTCGTGCTAACTTCAGGAGTTGGATAAGTTGCATCAATACTCTGACAGGCGTTATGGCTCAGATAGCGGATGAGTCCCAGCGCTCGATTTTGGTTGTCAGTTGATTCTGGCGCATTTTTCTGCCGGATTTTCCATTACGATACTAAAGCAGAGTAGAACCGGCCAACACGTTCCTGATAGTGCCTTTCCGGATATATATATATATATATATATATAATATTGTCAATCAAGCCACCATAGCTTTTTTAAAGAAATTTGACATGCACGTGTGCGATGGAACCTCCCGATACATAATTTCCGTATGGAGCTCTTTTCACTCGCTTTTATAATTTGGTTTAATAGTAGTTAATAGTTTGATAGCTCCACTGGTTTGCGAGCAATGCATATTATTAATTAATGTTTACGTATATATTCTTTTGCGAAAATCTAAATGGTATCCTCATACCATTTTTATAGCGTTTAATAAATGTGCACCTAATTGTATATTTTTTTTATTTACTGGATTTTTATATTTCAAAATATTGTGTTCTTCAAATTCGATTGTTATCTTTTGAGTGCCGTTCTTGCAGAATATGGTACAAATATATATATATATATATATATATATATATATATAAGTGTAAGCCGAAACTGGTACTAGTATTGACCTTAACTGTTCTGAAAAAAAAAATTAAAAAATAAAATTGAAAATTATAAGCTTTGAAGTGCAACCTAGAGTTCTGGTGAAATTATCATTGATCATTTTTTGGTTCTTTTGGTTCTTTTGGTAAATGATTTATTAATTTTGTTTGTATAACACAGTAAAATTACATAATTGCCCCAAGATTTCAAGAATTTTTCTTGAGCTATGAATTTCAAATTTTCTCTAAAGTGTGTTAGCAAGTTTCTTTAAAGTTGCCGAATTTAATCTGGATTGTCAAGTGGTAAAATGCTTGAATTTTATTATTGAAAATTTTCGAGTACAAAAATGACGCAAGTGTCTGGAAGGACGGTTTCCCATTTCCTTCTTTTAATTTATTATGCCCTGAGTGCCGAAATATTGTATATATAATTCTGAATTGACATGGATATTTACTGTAAATAATAGTTATAAATCATGGTCACTATTGAGGAAATGTGTTGATTGATAATAAATTATTTTCAACTGATATTAAAATATATTACAAAATATTGTTCAATACAAAAATATATAAAGTTGATCGCCTCCTTTATGAAAAACCGTGCGTGGTGTTAAATCGTTCCGGGTGGTTCCCTTAATGGAATATACGAAAATCTGATATCCACACGTCCACAAGTCCGATTCAGAACCAACATATTTATTTACAATCGGGGGGAATCGTCAGGGAATGTCATCTCTGAGTGCAGCATTCAATTTATTTCTTCACGCAAGCGAAGACGCCGCTTTTGTGCATTTCGCTTTGTCAATCCAATATTTGCGCTGCTGTCGAAAGAGTTATATAATGTGATTTTGTATCACCTCATCGAGGTGATTTCGAAACCATGTAATACGAATTTTCTGATATATACGAAAACGATTTTTTCAAATTTCTTGACGTGCAATCGAATCTTTTATAAAATTTTGTATCCGAAATATTCATACAAAATTGCACAAAATTAGACAAAAATCGGATTGCTTGCTTTTATCTGAAATAAAAGCTAATAAATTGAGAAAAATATAATGTATTTTGTCTATTTAGATATGTTTGTATTTCTTTTAACTTGTTTATGTAATTGGTCGTTAAAAGAAATATATGCTATATATTTATTTACTCTTTAACCGAAATAATTGATGTTTAATTCAGAATGGCGGTTGACAAAAATGTGGGTTCAAATGATTTGTCTAATCACGACATTAAATCAGAATTGTCTTGTATTTTATTGTCACTTAGGGTAAATATCTCATTTTTTACCCTATTGTCAAAAGTAAATGTCTACTGCCATTAGCATGTTTGAATACCGCCGAAAGCTGTTTGCTGGCATTTTAATTGTTCGAAATATCATTTTGAAATCGTTAAGCATTTCATTCGTATAAACGGATTCCCGCTTTCATTTTGAAAGTGTAATTGATGTGATCATATCATTATTAATTATTTAACATTATAAAATATAATTAGGTGAATACTAAAATGTTTAGAGACGGAACTGCGAAAATATTTTATTCAGAAGGTTCTATTAAAGCAGTTAATGCCACCTTCATACTCAAATTACTTGATTATGAGAACTGTTACTTAACTCTTTGTTAATTATCGCTTTGTTCTTGATGTCGAAAATTATAATTTGGAATATATATTTCCATATTACATGTGTATATATGTATGTATATATATATATATATATATATATATATATATATATGTATATATATATATATGTATGTATGTATGTATGTATTAGGGTGGTCCTTAATATGGACATTTTCGAATTTCCTTGCCCCCAAAGGCTCAAATGGTTCCAAATTGATAAAACACAATTCTCTGAAAGTTTTAGCTCTTAATGTTAACTTTTAGATAGTTCGCAATTCAATCAAACTTCGTATGGAAATAGCATGGTAAAAATTTTGAAAATAAAAAAAAAATAGGTATAACTTAGCGACAAATTTTGAATAAAACTCATTCATTTGTTTGCTAAATTATATCTAAAAACATTTTTAAAATTTTTGAAAATTTTTTCATACTATTTCCATACAAAACTTTGATTGAATTGCGCACTATCTAAAAAAACAATATTAAGGACCACCCTTATATATATATAAGATAATATTTAAAGAATGAGAAATTGGTTCACAGTCGGCGAAAAATGTGAAATTTGCATCAAACTCTACTGCGCAGTTATGAAACTATCAAACTAACATAAGATTTTAGAAATCATTTTAACATTATATAGTAATTTTATATGTAGTCTTTGCTAAACTTTCTGAATATCATTAAGTTATTATAAAGGTGACGCCTTACTATAACGAGTCACTGTGCGCGTTGACAAAGTTCATAGTATTTTTTGCATTGTTTCTTATGAACGAAGTTATATTGAAACTCAGTAAAATGATCACTAAACGAGTTTCTATAATAAAACTTTGAAACAAAATTTCATAAATTATAAATTTATATTTTAATGATCCGCTGTATTTTATGAAACTGCGACCAAGAGTTCAAATGTATAAGATTACGTTTAAGTTCATAATACAGAAAATTATTAATACAGTATTAGAGAACATTTTAAAAAGTAATTGTGACTTCAAATCCGGCATAAACTTAATTTATTAATAAAATAATTATTTTCATTTATTAATAAAATAATTAAATAATATTAGAACTATTCATATTTATTTGTTTCCTTATATTCAAGATCTATATTAGTGTTCTAATTGTATTTTACGATTTTTCAGATTGCAGATTCGCCTAACCAATCGAAGCTTCACTGATCTTTATAAAAGGTACGTGTGTTCGTACGTTGCACGTTGACTAACACTTCTAACATTAGAAACAAAAATGAGGTTTCTCCATTGTAACCGATGCATGAATCGTGTGAAACAAGGCGTTGTCAATCACCTAACAACGTGTCTTCATATGTTTTGTGACACATGCACTCAAGTACGGCCTGTTAAGGATCAATGTTTACTTTGTAAGGCTGTTTGTTCTTACACCATTCTCAATAAAGATTTGCCGACAGACATGAAAGCACTTTTCAGGGATCCATACGATCATCTGAAGGAATTTCAAAGAATCTATAGTTTCCAAAGTTTTCATCGCAAGAAGTGGCTAGAACATTGTAAGCAATGGTACCACTCGTATGAAATCGGTTTGCGCAAATTAAAAGAAGCTCGCGAGGAGGAGAAAAAGGTCGACTTAGAAATGGCCGCCATGCAACGTGAATTCACATACTTAAAATCATTAGTAGCCAAATATGAACAGAATGCAGTCAATGAGTCCCATCATAATATTACAGTTCCTTCAACACCTAGTAATATTAGTTTTGGTCAACGAATTTCTGTTTACGATAATTCTAAAAAAACAGAGTACAGAAATCCCAACACGATGAGTTCTAATGGCACTTTCGCCTCAAACAGTACACTGAACGCTTCCATGCGTCCAAATTTTACCAATTTAAGTACTAAAAACACCAGATTTTCACCATACCACAGCTTACAGGAACCGCCGCGTCCGCAATCCGCAAATCTTCCAATGACTAATCAGCGTTTTGGGCCTTCTTCCTCGGGCGCACCACATATGGTTTGTCAGAGGCCAATTCATAGTCTTTTAGATGTATCGCGATCATCGAATTTCTCGAAACCTTCAACAATTGATAGCCCATTTCAAAATCAACTTAAGGAGTTATCTATCAATAGAAATCATAATTTTAATTCTTTATTACAAACGAATAACACCACATCAAGACGAGATCAAATTAATCAACATAGGTCAAGTAAGTCTACTAGCGGATTAAGTGATAAATCCTCCATTAGAATGCATTGTAGATCTCCAGGTCGTGCATCTTCTCGTCCTCCTAGCAATTCCTCTTACATGCAGACCAATAATATAAATACATCAGTTTATCCGCCTAGTAATAGATCACAAATAGGTGCACAAATCAAAACAAGAACCGACGGATTAGAAATGCGGACTCCACAATCTGCTCTATTCAATAGGCTAGCCGCGGGATCTACATATTCAAATAATAGATCTCCATCGACTAGTAGTAGAATTTCCGATAGATGTCCCAATAGACCAATAATAGAACAACTTGATAGATCGCATAATAATGCATCGAATCATACATATGCGGATGAAATATCTCGTAGGAACAATAATGAGAGGCACTGGAGGCAGCATTCTAACAGATATCCGTTTTCGAAAAATAATAATGTTGTCCATCAACGTATTAGTGCTTCCCCTCTTTTAATCAGCCAGGAATAAAAAATAATAATGTTTATACTCATCAATTATGTAGTTCACAAATCTATTATTATATACTCAGCTATTCTATTCAAATGCTGTTGTTGAAATTATTAATTTTTACACTTTCATTTGTTGTAAATATTGTTATTCTGTATTTTTTTTCACTCATTCATTTTTATCGCTACATATTCTTACAGAACTTTATTAACATATATATTTATTTTATTCTTATAAATCTTGCTATATTGTATATAGTTTTTTACTTTTATGTGTTTTTGATAATTAATAAATATGGTTATCATTCTATCTTTTGTTTTGTTTATGGTTTGTTTTGCATGTGGTTCTTTCAATTGACTGCATTTATAATTCAATCTTTTTGTTTCTAGTGATAGACACACACACACACACACACACACACATATATATATATATATATATATATATATATTATGGTTACAAACAAGGAATTTAGATAAAAAACCAGAACAATTTTTTTTTTGAAAATCATTAATTTTATACGATTGACTTAATCGATCTTCATGTTTTCTGTGAGTTCGAATGATAAAAAAATATTAGTTCAAATGGTTCATTTCTTTTTTGTCGTTAATCATTGAAGTATTTTTGAAACACATTTAATTCTACACATTTCCTTATTTTAGAGAAATATTTTTCGCATTGTACTTAATTCAATTTGAATTTATGTAAAACTTTCAAAGTTATAACAAAAGTTTAGTTGTGATAAATTTCAAAAAAATATTTATTAGTAAATATTTAAAATGTTATATAACAAAATTATTACTATATATCTTAATATCACATCTTCATGCTACCTTTTTGAGATAAAATAACTAAAATATAAAATTACTGAACTTTTCAAGGTAAACTACAATAACAGCCTAATTGTTTATAATTAATACATCTTATATATTTTTACTCGTCATAACATATGTACATCCCCTGTGACTACTTGGTTAGTGATCTTCTACTTGTCATTTCCTTGATGTTAATGTCTCTTAAAGCTATTAGAACTGCAACTGCATCACATTGACCATTATTATTTTTTCATTCTTATTCCATGAATTTGAATTATTTTATCTATTGCTTTCTAAATGGCCAGAACCAGATGTCGTAGAACGAAACCGAATATATATACCATCATTACCTTTGCCCGACTCGTATTGCGACTGTGGCCGCTGCTGTTTCCAGTTGTCTTTACAATTCCAGTTTGCATCAATTTCAATATTATGTTATTGAAAAGACTCAACTTGATATCTAATTTTGTAATACTAATGCTTAGATCCAACTCATTATTTGCGACACAAGTTAACCAAACTTGTGCCACTATGAAAATTGACATAAGAATTGAAATAAAATACTTGTTTGATTTTGGTTCTCCAATAAGTCCAATAAAAACTCAATTTCATTTACAAAAATGCGTAATACAACATTTGGAGTTTTGTACCTATGAGAATAATAATGATTAATCGCGGAAAAAAGTATAACTAATTGTAAGGAAGAAAACAGTTTCGGTTTTATCAACAACTCGGTCAAACAAAAGTGCTTACTTATCGATTTAGTGATTTTTTTCTCTTCAAATCAAATCGAATAAATTGCTAAATTTTTAATAGCATTAAACGTGTTGGATAATGTGTGGAATTTAATTAATCATGCTGTTAATTGTATTGTTATTATTACATGATTGATAAAAAGTTATACAACTTTTACCCACCTTAAGGGAGTATTCTAGTGTAGAAATTCCAAAAAAATCGTTTTTTTGTTTTTTTTCATATTTTAAAAGCCGAATTATTCAAGAATGTGTGTACGAGGATTTTTCAAAATTTAAATTATATTTGAAAATACAGCTCTTTGACCATGATAATTCATTTCTGTTGCGAAACTTTAACACTTTCGACTCGGGGGTCGGACTGCCAGTCGGTACGCTGCGCTCGGAATATTATAGTGCTATACTTATCCCTCAACTCGGAATTTTTTCAAAATGTGGTTATATTGCTTTTAAATATAGTTATTATTATAATTAAATAGAAAATTTTGAAAACTAAAAAAAATTGCACTCAAAACCATGCTATATTGTTTAAAAATCATTTCTTCACAGATCTTTATTAGAATTCTGGGAATCATGAGCTGATAAATTAAGTTTGTTATATATTTATTTATAAAATTAATAAATCAATCAATAAATGAATGTAATAGTAAATTAATTTTTGAAAAATAAAAAAAATTAAATGTAAGTTTAGTTTGCGACGACTCGTCGCCGACACGATTTGCCGCCGGAGCGGCGGCATCCGAGCTTAACGGTAAAACATATCATGCCGCCGGAGCGGCGACATCCGAGCGCAACGGCAAAATGACTATGCCGCCGGAGCGGCGGCATCCGAGTCGAAAGGGTTAAACTTTAAACGCGTTTTTCTCAAAATTGTCTTTTTCAGTACGATGTCCACGATTTCTCGAGTTCTGTTGGACCGATTTACTTGAAATTTTCAGATAAACTTTATCGACATCTTTCTGGCATATACTAGCCTCATCCCCAAATTAAAATTTTAACTATCTTTAAACATTTTGAGAAAGTTCAAAAGTGGTAAGAAAATGGTCCTTTTTTCAAACAGTCGCCATTTTGTTAAAAAAAAAATTAACTTAATCCTAGTATATGCCATTGCGACATAATTCTAGATTGATAATCTTTTATATTTTTAATTTCGGATTACTAGAAGGGTTGCAATCGTGGATACAGTTACGTGCCAGTTTTTTTGAGACCCCCCACTTTAACAACTGCTAATTTTAATTTTTTTCCGCTTTTACTTTTTTTCTGTACTCTTATAACGTTGATAAATAAATTATAAAAACAATAATAGTAAAAAAAAATTAATGCCTTTTTTACGATCTATACTCTTGTAACGTTGATAAGCAAATTATAAAGCTAGTGGTGTACGGCATCGTGCCTTAATGCAAATTGCTAGAACTTCCCGTACCGTATCGAAATGTCGAGGAATATTAAATCTTTTCGAATAGATTATTATAAATACTGTAACGTTGCCTAATATTTATAAGAATTATATAATATTGCAAAGTTAAAATTATTTATTTAAAGTATATATAAGTGAGCTTTGGAATTTTAGCAAGAATTAAAATTAAAATCTGAATTATTTTTGAAAAAAAAAAATTTGAAAAAAAAAATCAAATAATTTTTTCCCCAAAATCAATTGTTTTGCTAACACAAGCAGAGAGTTTTTTGAATCTTTCAAATCGGATGCTTAGTTCTCTAAAAAAAACTGCAATTTTTTGTACATTTAGCTCCATATCTTCGAAACGGCTAGAGCTGCCTTCACCAAAAACTAATTACCACTTCTCCCCATCATTACGAATTGAATGTTTTCTGGATCTATGAATATGAAGCGGATACTTCGTTCTCTCAAAAACACGATTTTTATTTTCTACAATTTTTGCTCCGTATCTTTGTAAAGGCTGGAGCTGCCTTTGCCAAAAACTAATCAGCACATCTTCATATCAATAGGAATAGAATGTTTTTTGAACCATTCGAATCGGTTGATTCGTGCGCCTGAAAAAATGGACGAAAAATGTGGACATACAAAACACACACCCATACACTCACACACATACACACATCTATTTTTTTGAGGTGTGCTAAAATGTTCAGATACCACCTCCAATACGTGAAGATATGCAAAAATTTTCATTTTTGATTTTCGGCCCATTACTATAACTATCCTACGGGAATTTAAATAATATTAGTTAAAAAAATTTGATTGTCTTTTTTATGATTATTTAAAAATGACCAAAAATTCATGCCTCTACATTAGACACCCTCTTAACTGGGTTTATTAATTACTTGTCGAAGAGCGGTGGGGAATAATCTATCTGATTGATGCTATGAAGCCTTTCATTCGTCAAAATATGAAATCAAAGAGTAACAGATTGAAGTAAGTAAAAGATTGAATTGCCTCATGTTTTTCGTTATCATTGTAAATTTAGCACGCGATGTCGCGTACACCGGAATCATTTAGTCTGGTTTGAGGAGGTCAAACCGTCGTCATATTGATTTAGCCATTGCGGGATATACACGGCGGTTTCTCATTGATCTCACGGCCCATTGTGCGTACGCTGATCGTGAGTTTACTGAGCAGCTAACCTTCCGTCCGACAGGAGATAATTGGACAGCGCACGGCCTATGGGTCCATCCGTCCGTCTGCCTCTATGTAAACCACTTCATACGGAATAGCATCGGTTCAGATTTGTCAATCTCTAATTAAGAGCGTGATATGCTGCGGTGAAAAGCGAAAATTTCACCAAAACCAGATATCGTTGTGCATAAATGACCAATGTGCGGAATCGACGTTATCCTTTCAAAATTGATGCTATTGATAGACGTGAGACAGATGAGGTTGTTTTCTCTAGATCTTGGTATAATAATCGATGTGATAATATACAATGCGTACAATAATTGTTTTATGTTAAAAATATGTCAAAAGTTTTAAAAAAGCTTTTATTGCTCTTAATTATTTTAATCGTTTTACTTATTGTTATAGTATTGAATATTTAAACTAGTTAGTTTGGTATTTTGCCCTGAGGCAAGTTACATGAACTTCCCGATATGTTTATATAATCGACTTAACCAATAACAAATAAATTAATTTATGAGTCATTAAAAGTATTCCGAGTGGATTTATTACACATAATTGAAACTAATTATTTTTATAATTGAGCCAGTTTTTTATAGGACATTAATTGTTCAGTATGTTCATTAATACCAAGTACCTTATCGTTATACCAAGTAAATCGTCTAGTTTTAATTTTAACAAATGTCAAAAGAACTACTCAATATCTCAAACTTTGATGAATTTTAAAAATTAAACTACTTGTCGTAAGGCCGTAATATTTCAGTAAGTTCTATAAGACCATGATATATATCGCCAAAAAAAGTTCCTTGAAAATCGGCTTGAATTTTTTTCAACAGTTGATTAAAAGAAAACGGCTCGGTAGATTTTCGCATAAAACTAATCAGTATCATTCCCAACTAATATCTTTCGAACAGTTTTTGAATTTTTAAAATCGGAAATTATGG